GGTCCTCTTGCCTGCGGCTGTTGTGCTAGGGGATGTGGAGCTGTTGGTGCCTGAGGCAGTCTTGCCTGCTCTTCCCTTGGCCTGGTCTCATCTACAAGGTCCCTCAAATGGCCTTGCCTTACCAGGTCTTCTAGGTGCGCCTTCAGGGCTCTACAACCCTAAGTCATATGCCCATCTTCGTTATGGTAAGCATAATGCTTACCAAGGTTTCTTTCCATAAACTCTCCTAGTACCCTTGCTGGTTCTCTGATATAGGGTTGGGTTCGGATTCTATCCAGGACTTTGTGAATGGGGATTCGGAACACAGTTGTGACTGCATGTGCAGCCCTCAGTCCTATCTCTTGCTTGTTGGATCCGTTGTTACCTCGGCCTCGCTTCAGCGAGCCGTTTCGTTTCTCTTGCTTTGTCGCCATGGTTCTTGGCGTGTCCTCCTCGGCTCTGGCATATTTCTCGATTCTAGCCATGAGCTCCTCCATGCTTTTTGGCAATGTCTTCGCCAGTGATTTTTGGAGTAGGCAATTATCTTTCATGCCGTTTTTAAATGATACGACGGCCACTTCTTGGTTGCATTCTGGTATTCAGTTCAATACCTCGTAACACCTCTTGGCGTAGGCCCTCAGACTTTCGTCCTCACCAATCTTCAGAGCCATCAGGGCGTCCACCCTCAAGGGCTGTAGTTTGTTTGTCACGAACCTGGCCACAAATATCTCGGCCAGGCCTTCCCAGGTCTTCACACTTTCTTTCGGTAATTTGTGAAACCAATCTGATGCAATCTCCTCGAAGGATGAAGGGAACACCTTGCAGAGCAATGGCTCGTTCCCAGTGTATAATGCCATCGAGTTCAGGTATAATCCGACGTGAAAGTTGGGGTCCGACTTACCATCGTATATTTGGAACCTCGGCATACTGAATCTTTTCGGAGCTTCAAATTTGTCCAACTCTACCGAGAATGTTGTTCTCGGCTTAACAGGGGACGTTACCTCGGCATTTTGTTGCTTCCTCTTGAGGTAATCTCTCAAGTCCTCTTTGGTCCGCCCAGGAGCTCGGCTGTCTCCTAACTTCAGTCTTTTCGGTGCACTACTCTCAGCTTCGTTGTGAGCCCTTTTCGATCTTTCTTCATTAGTTGTGTTGAAGCACAACTCCTGCCTTTGAACATGCCGATGTTCTTTGGGATCTGCCTCCTTGGTGTGATGTGTCCTTCGAGATTCTTCCCTCCTCGACTCTCCTCGCCCGATCTCCCTTGAAGGCCGATGAGAGTGTTTTTCGCTCCTGGTGCGCTAGGGGGCTACAGGGATTGTTTTTGCCCTCCCTTCTAGGCATTGGCCACTGGAATCGGCATGTCCTGCAGGGGGAATGGTGGCTTCATGACGTTGTTTTGCATCATAAAATTGATGACCAATTGCAGGTCTGCCAATTTGTTCGCTATCTCTTTCACCTCTTCGTCCCTTCGCAGGCATCTATCTTTCCATACCTAGATGTTGTCCTCATTGTAATACCCGCTTCGATCCGATTTCTTTGGTACGTCACCCTCCTGGCCGACGTCTTTCTTGCCGTGATTCTGGTCCTGAGTCTCCTCGTTGCAACCATCTTCCTCCATGTTAGGGTCAACGTGTTTACTGTTCCCAGTAGGAATTTCGTCCCTAACCTTATCCTTATGTCCGTCGCTGGCCATCTATCCTTCTTTCTTTTCCACAGACGGCCAAATTGTGGGTGTCAATTTCCGACCACACTGCCAACTTAGTACTTAGTTGGAGAGGACTGGCAGAATAGATTAAGCCCGAATGTCCTACAATAGAAAGAAGAGATTCTGGCGGTGGTTCGTCCACCTGGGGGCACTCTGACGATCAAGTCAGTTATCTCTCAAAGATAGCAAAATTACTTAACTCACTATTCAGAATGTAAATTGCGTACCTTAGACCCATAGGGGTGCCTCTCTTTTATAGTTGATTCAATCTTAGTCCCAATAGAAGACTTGCTTCAATGGACTTTAGTTTCGTGCTTATTTTGGACTCTTCAATAAATAAAGATAAACTCCCTAAGAGCTTTATCCTTATCCAGGCTGAGTTTCTTCCTCATTCTAGGACTCTTGTCCCTTATCCGCTTATCCCGGATTCCAATATCTTCGGAGATAACCTCGGCTTATCCGAGATCACCTCGGCGTCACGACCAGGACACGTGGCACCTCGGCTGACACGTCGGCGTCACCTTGGCCACGTGTTGGTACTCAGAAAATATATCCCCACATATACTTTACCATCGCCAATCTACACAACCACCATATCACCGTCATCCCGTCTCCATTGTTTCAGATTCAAATTTGTTTTTCAGTGATAAATTTATCAGTCTCTCTTATTCTTTGTATATGTGGCAGAGGATGATAGATTCTTATAAGTGAGTGAGTGAAAATAAGTAAGGATTGTGGATATTAATAAATAAATTTACAATGATAAATTTATCACTCTAATCAATAAATTTGTAGTGATAATTTATCAATAAGTTTGGTTAATAGAACTGGCTCATAAGTGCCCTTTATATAATGCAAGATTCTCAATAAGTTAGTTGTCTTCACATTTTATATACAATGATTCTGATGTATTTTTTTTTTTTTTTAGCAATGCTCCATCCCCCAATGAAGTGGCAAATAATTTTAAAAGGAATAAGAAGAGTTTGAAGAGAGTTAATTAATTGATATTGTTTGTTATATCATTGGGAGAGTTGGGGCCCTTTTTTTTTTTTTCTTTTGTTTTTTTTGTTTTTTTGTTTGTTTTGGGGGAGCAAATGAAAGGAAATTCATTTTAGGTTGGATGTCATAGAGTCATGACTAATAGATAAACCCCACTGTAATAGATGTTTTAAACCACCACAACGGAAAATTTAATAATACACACTTTAAAAAAAATGTTTATCAGTCCAGTTATGACTTTTGTGGTCCTTAATTATGATCGATTGTAGTGTTTGTTATAATTATTTATTATGGTGTTAATTATAATTTAGTTACGACTTATTGAAATTGTTATGTTGATTATATGGAAAAAGTCATTGGTTATGCATCAAGTAGTGTTGGTTATGACCCATTTTAGTAACTTGGTTATGACTTGTTGTGTTTGTAGAGTTAATTATTATAACCTATTGTGATTATTATTTTAATTATAACCGAAGAGATCTCTGATTATGTACAAGTAGTGTTTAGTAATAACTCATTGTGTTTCTTTTCTTAATAACTAAAAATAATTTATTTATAACATTTGTCATATCAACACTACAAATTATCGTAACTTTCATATGGTGTATTGTAAAAAAAAACCCTAGGGAGGATATTATCCACAAATTGCCCTAGATGCAACTTTCCTAGCTAGAGGTGCAGCCTCAAACCAAGATTTTTTTTTTTTTTTGAATGAGAAAAATGAAGCTCCATGGCACATCATAACTTTCGCAAGCCCTGACTTCAAAGTAACCAATTGGTAATTAAATTTAACCCTTCAAAGTAACCAATTGGTAATTAAATTTAACCCAATCCAAATGTAGGGACCTCCACCGGGGTAATACCCACTCCACAGGGGTCGTGGAGCTTTTCCTCAAACCAAGGTTTAGATATCCTGCTTTTGCACCCAAGAAAATTTTAAAAATAAAAAGAAATAAAAAGAAAACAATAAGATAATGACTGACATACCAGAAACTACCCTACTGTTGGCTTTTTGGCTTTCGAAGGTTACTTTTGTAATTATGAGCGTGCCAGCAAGGATCAATCAGTCCTTACAGAATTGTAATTGCCAACCAATTATTCAAACGATTGTGTTATGGTTCTTTCAGCCTCAATAAAGAGGACTTTTACTGGTGGCTTACTGGTAATTTGACTTTAGAAAACTTGAGCATAAGAACAGTTAAAGAAACTGAAGTATTTCATTAGTATGAGAAACTTACAATGATCTTAGTTCCGTAGAGAATTACAGCAGCAATATACTTGAAAACTACTCCTACAAATGAAGTGCAGTGCAGGAACTTAAAGTACAGAGATATAAAGAACAGGAAATAAAACTGGAATATGTAAGGTAATTCTTCAGATCTTTTCGTCGTTCCTTTCTCTGAAGTCCTTCCTGCTATTTATACTTTCCGAAGATAACCGTCGAATTGTATTTCAAACCGTCGAACTGCTCCTCCATAATCGCTGATCATGCCACCTTATAAGTAGTTCCACTACGCCTTCGCTTGCAGTTAGGCTTCCCCCTTATATTCGAATTTGAATATGAGCAACCGTTGAAGCCACGTCACCATGTGTCTCTTTATTGATCCGCTACTACTTAGATCTTATAACAACCAATAGTGACTGCCACGTGTATGATCAGGATCAAAGACCTACCTGGTCTCCCCATATTACCCTTACTTTGCCACGCGTCGAATTGTCATTAGCTAGCACAAAATGTGTAGCCAACACCTACCGTGCTTTATTCTTTAATCTTGTTTGAGAACAACTTAATTTAGTCAAAAAGTCAAAAGGCCAATACAGAAAGTCAAAACAGTATCTTTATTTTTTTTTACATGTTTTGCAAAAAAATAAAAAAATTACTGAAAAATACTAATTTCCAAACGAAATAAGAGCCGGTTTTGGTGAAGTAAAAAGTACTAACAAAATTAGAGAATTGATGAGAGTCTAATATCTGCATTATATATATATGCTCTATTTTGTTGACAGATTATACAGATGTTTTGAAAATCTCCTCCATGTTGAAAGCCAAGTGTTCAACTCCTATCTGTTAAATCAGTTTATTCACATATTTGCAATCTAGAGCTAACAATTTGTTAGTTTTCACTTATTTGGAATCACTTCAAAGGCCTCCAAATTTACAACTCAATATGCTATAAAAATCAACTTGGAGAAATATAGACACAACATCCCTGAAAAAGTGCAATAGATCAAGTAGAATGAAGATGTACATCTGATGAGTTCCTCAACATACCAACTAAAATGGCATACATTGAATATGTGGATGTGGGACTGAAGATTTGTACAGAACATAAGAGGAAACAAGTCCATATATATATATATATATCATCCATTGGATTTACAAGGAAAATAAACAAAACAAACAAATGCCCTAAGGCATCATCATCGTCCAGTGAAGGAAGAGACAAATTATAGTGTTTTAGCATGTAATATAACAAGATGATACACATGAGAAAGAACATTATGTGATAGTTTGTCCCATTAATATGCAAGATTTCATTACTGCCTTTGTGGATCGGTGATGTGCAGTTAGTTAGAATGATGGGAAATATTTGTGGAGTTTGAAGGGCAGGGCATAGAATTCCTGACTTCTTGAATCAGTGTCGATGGACTGGAATTTGTCCCACCAATGCCTACCCCTGTCTTTCCTTATTGAACTGTCTTTCTTGTGTATCGTGATGTCCAGGAAATATGCCACAATGCCCGCAACAAGTGCTTCTGATGAGAACGGAACGTTAATCATATCATTGAACTGCCAAAAAAAGACAGACAACATTTTTTGTCAGTGGAGTTCACAACTCCATTTGGGATGTGCCAAAAGTCTGCTTGCCATCAAATAAAAAAGCTAAATAGCTAGTCAGCTTTTTTAGCAACTTCTCAAACACATCAGTTTTTTCAGATTTTAAAAGCTAAAAAAGCCAAAGGCCAAACTACAATCACAACACAATTCTAGCAAAAACTAAGAAAGCATAAAGATTCAAAGTTTTTGGTGTTCTCTGCATACCCATCTTGCGCCTGTGTGAACTGGGCCGCGTCCATTAATTGCCGTGTACTCGTTGAAGTACTGGGGTATAGACAAGCCCAAAAAGATGGAGAAGCCCAATATAAATATTGTTCTGAAGCTGTTGAGATTGCAGAACTGAAGGAAACTTAAACCTACTGAACCTGCAGGTTCATGATGAAACCAAAGATACCCATTCACTAAAACGGATCATAAAATCAGATTTTGAGAATGTCTGGTAGCTAACTAGTTGCACCATTGACACTTACCGACGTAAGCAAAGAGAAGGCAATATAAAGAAGCAACAATTGGTGCTGGAATTGAGGCAAAGACTGCTCCAAATTTTCCTAAACAAGTGGATTTGATTGACAATTAACAAAATAATATTCATAGAAATTAACAAAAAAAGTAGATTAACAAAAAAGTAGATCGATAATGGAAATTAATTTATGTTATTCAAAACCTTATTTGCAAACAACTCACCAAGAATGGAAAAGAAAATCATGAAGCCAGCAGATATTTGCACAACCCTTCTACTGCCAACACGAGTCAAACCTAAAAGACCAGCATTCTCACTGCAGTTAAACCAAGAAAAATCATTATTATGTCCTGTCTCGATTGATATAAATACAATTAGAAATGCTAATGAATTATAAAGGTTTTTGTTGTTGGTGTCTTACATAGACACGGAGGATCCATTCACAGTTCCAAACAACCCAGAGAGCAAAATACCAATTCCCTGAGACAATAAATGAACAATTAGTTCAAAGCTTACTGGCATTCAATGTTCACCTGAAAGAAGTTTGGGAAATTTCAATTTGTTGTTTTAGACAGCAAAACAGAGAAACTTGGCTAATATAGGGACCATCCTCGCAAAGCTTCAACACTAGAGAAAATCATAGGACAAATTGGGAATCTTAAACACATATTCTTAAGTGTAATCATACCACTAAAAAGAAAGCAACAAGTTTTCAATTTACCTGCCAACCAACACCACGGCTGAGAACAGCAGGAGGCACATACGTTGCACTTGCATATCTTGACACAGCAATAAAGCCACCAGTGGACTGCTTATATCATTAAAAAAATATTGAAGTAAGCTATTTGTAAGGAATTATAAACAGAAGTACCTAAAAGATGAAACTTTAGTTCGAAATAAAGGGACATGAGCTACAATAAAGATGCAAGAACAATCTAAAGTCCAAAAATGTGTCTGCCTGCTCAAAAAAAATAGCGAATTTTGTGCTGTTTTCAAGCCTTTGACCAAAAATAGTTGAGTTTCCCCACCAATAAGTCATCAAAAAGTATATCAACATAACAATGGCAATGAGAATGCACTTCGGTCATCAGTTTATTCCATCAAGAGGAGAAACAAACCTCTACAAGAGCAACAAATGAAGTAACCATCATGGCAAAGGCTTCACCTGCATCAAACGAAGGTGGTCCCCATTGAAAGGGATATGGAATGCTTATCCTGCCAATGGAAACACCAGTACCAAAATAAGGAACGCTCTTCACATGTTATCTATCCCACCACACAGAGCCATAGCACAGGACCATATGATGCAGTAGCACAAGTTTCTTGCCACAACCTCATTGAATAAATTACAAAGTTCGAGAATATAACAACAATAGGCCCAATCATGGACTTTAAACATCATTCTTACATGTATTAATGAATAAATGCTAAGCTAACCAACAAGTAACAGGGACACACATGCTTACCAAGGAGCACCATCAATAAGTCCAGAACGATCGGTACGACAGCTCGCCTGTGTTTTTGGTGGTTTACCATTATAGGCCCCACCTACAGTGAGTAGGTAAGCATAAATCCATACAAGTGCCACTGAAAATATTACAGCAAAGCGTTCAAAGACATTTTTTCCACTGCGTATTGCATGGGGCAGATACTGCAGACCAAATGAAATTTTGAATGATTTTAGTAGACAGCTTTAAAATACTTCGAATATAAGCGAGAAAGAGAGGAAAGTGGTTATTATAAGTAAGACTAAAATTTTAGTAATGCAACAAAGGACCTTACCTGTGAGAGAAAAACTAAAATGATAAGATGCGGTAGTCCAATTTCAATGCATTTAGCAACCTAGACAACAAAGTCAACAGTTGACATCCACACATCAATACAATGACAAATCAGAAAGAACACAAATGCACATATGAAGAGTACACACAGAGTAAAACCCACGAATCCATGATCCATTGAAGAGCAGTAAGAGTATACCTACCCCAGGAAAGCCAAACTCATAGAGCCCATAACCAGCAAGAGCAACCAAAGGAACAGCTGAGAGTGGACTCAAAAACCTGAAGGGAAAAAAAAAAAAAAATGCATGTTATGAAGAACAAAATAGGGAGAAGAGGGAGAAAACTTACAAACAGCCACAACCTAAAATACTCTCCATAATATTGACTCAAAGCTGACCATTACAATCCAAAAGCCTAAAGGTCAAAACCCTAATTTAATTAAGAAACTAGACTAATGTTATTTGGGAAACAAAATGCACATCCCATACTAATATTATCTAAGTAAATACGAATATTAATATTCTACCAATTACATTTATAAGACAGAAATGCCTTTGGACCCAAGGGCTTCATTCTAGGTTTCCAAATCCAATAATGAGCTTCCAAATAGTCAAGAGTTGCGCCATCAACATGGAATTGGGACATTTCACTAGATGTGCTCAAACAGAGTATTCAGATTTCCAGCTGTTCAGTCAGAGCAGAGACTGGATCATACAAGTACAAACAAAAGAAGCTACACATAATGAAAAAAATCTACGCTTCAGATATCAGAATGACTCGGAGCAATTAACTAATGCAAACCAACCACAATAAAACCAACAGGAAAGATATTATTAGAACACTCACTCTGATATTCTACATCGTTAATCGATATAATGCCAGGAGCAAAAGAAGTCCAAACCAGCTAGTTATTGTAATTACAAGTAAGCAAAAACCAAAAAGAGTTTAAGTCGGCTAAGTATTCTAGCATAGTCTACAATTTCATGCATTTTTGTAGATTATGAACCAACCTCGTTACATTACGCCAAAGACCACTGAAACCCAGAACAATTTGAAGGGTTGAAGCAACAATGAGTGCACCCTGGATTGCCCGCATTGTCCTTTTGAATTTCTGACGTGGCAATAAAAATTGATGACATGGTTAGAACCAAATATAAACAAGTTTAATCTAGCATTTGAACTTGCAATTTCTCTCATCCTTTATTCCCTTCTTTTGAATTCTCTCCTTTGTATGTGTTAGTACGTAGACCAAAAGGGCGTGTAATGAAAAGAACACATGTACTTAGCTATTGTGCATGAAATTTAGCATCCAGCTGCACTGTTGTTTAGGTGAAAATGGAAATATTTTGCGGGCACAAGTATTATGGACCCTATCCTTAATGGGAAAGTAAGTCATGTTCCTTGTGCACGCATGTGTGTGTGTGTGAGACAGAGAGAGAGAGCTTTCTAGAAATGCAGATATGGCGAAAGAACTTTGCAAGAACATAAAATGCACCAATGCTAATTATGTGTTTTTGTGTTTAAATACCATCATATGTTAAACACAAAATTCAATGTGCCATGCATACACCACCAAATACAACAGCATTTGATCTAGATCACAAACCGTTAGAGGGTCGTAATTGTTGAATCGACTAGAAAGGATAATTGAAATTGTGGCTGCAACAAACGTATACGACCCTCCAATCACAACAGGCAATCTACTCCCAAAAAATGTCTGCAGTAATGTGTTCAATCCAGCAACAAGGAGTAGTGTCTGGATAACCTTTGCTTTCTCCTCCTAGAAGAACAGAAAATGACGTTTCAATTAGATTATTGAACATCAGTTACTGTGACAAAACCAAGGCAAAAGAAACCATCACGAAATGTATATTTTTCACTGTTAGGACCTACATTCCCTCCCCCCATTTGAGGAACAAGAGCAGTAGGAATGATAACTACTGTGCCAAGCATCACCAAATAATGTTGAAACCCAAGGAGGATAGCCTCAGCTGCATCAGAAATGCACCACAAATTTGAAAAATTAGGTGAACCCCATAATGTTAAGCAAAGGCTTGGAACTATAAAATTACAACAACAACAAAAGAAGAAGAAGAAGAAAGAAAAACTCTAAGCTTTTTGACCAAATAGGAAATTAGACAGAATGTTATATGAAATTTACTAAACTCTGACAAGAAAAGAAGTCAGATGTAGATTGACCCATTACCATTAAATTTAACAAGGATCATTTAGCCAATTTGAAATGGCTGTAATAAAGTTAAAATCGATAGAATCCAAAGTTTACCACATGTGAATTGAGTCAAGTCAATGCACAATAGAGATACAAAAAAGAATAAGGAAAAGTACAAATATGTCCTATTTTTTCTTTCCGAGGCCCATTGAATCCAATAAAAATTTGCTAAGACAATGGAGTCCTAGTTCTAAATATTTCCACTTACGTTCAGCATTTTATATACCCATTTTTATCTTCGTATTAATTACATATAACAATGTGGTCATTCATATTATGTTTTTTAATGGAACCAAATTTGATTTAGGAATAAAAATTAGCTACTACCTAGTATTAGTGATCTTCCGTGGCACTAACATAAATTCCATCCATTGTTGGTACAATAAAATATATATACACATAAATTTAAATAGTTCAAAACAATAACAGATCCTCTTAGTTGCATGATTTTCTTGAAAGAAATCTAGAATTGTTCACAAATTATTGTATAAATATTTCCCAATGTAAGATTTTATCAAAGCAATGCATTTTCTTAGTTTCATATTTGTAAACAGTTGTGAATTTCACCAGGATTGTGGTTTAGTACTAAAGTGAAATATATAACCAGGGTTTTTTACTGATACTGGTCAGACAATCCCAACATGTGTCAAACACCCATTGAAATGTGTCCTATGTTTTTAAAAAAAATTTAGAATCGAATACAGATTGGACAGTTGAAAAAAAAAAAATCGCTAGGCACATGAGATGCATCACAAGTTTGAAGAAAATAACATAAGAGCCATTACTTAAAACCTAAACAGTCCACGCTTCTTTTTTCAATGCATAATGTGAAAATTTATTTTATTACTATTATGATATAATAAAATATAAATGTAATTGTAACATAAAAAGTTAAAAACAAAAATATTATTAATATATATATATATACTATACTATACTATACTATTTACTATATACCATATACTATTATATAAAGGCAACACCCTAATTGGTGTCTTGAAGCCTCTGCCATAAAAATAAATAAATAAATAAGCATTCACTCTTCTCTATGCGAAGTGGATTTTAATTACTACTCATTTTGATTTTGAATTTCAAATTATGATACCCTTTTCAGTTGTTTTATTTTTTTATTTTCTCTGCTTTTTTTCTCCTTCTATATTCAACTGATTGATTTTCAACACACTAATTGGGTGTGTACATATCTAGTACATATTTGTCGTGTTTTTTCGTGTCATATCTTATGTTTTGAAAATTGCCATTTCAACGTGTCCATATTATGTCTCTTATATATCTGTGTTTCTTAGCAATTTTATAAAAAAACAAAAAACAAAAAACATAAAAAAAAATTAAGGAAACTTAAGGAAAATGATCCATCCCCACAAATTTCTTCCACAAAAGCACCGTGTCTAATGTAGTGCCTAACTCACTCACTCTATAGTGGCGAATTCTTACCGGTAAGAAATTGTTGACGGTATGATTTTGTGAGAGAAATTTGTGGGAAGTAGCACTGCCCAAAATTTAAAGCACGGCAGAAGAAAATGTAATGGTAATTTTGTACATAAACAAATTTAATGAGAGGCAGATAAATCATCTATATATGGAACTTTTAAAGAAACAAAAATGTAAAAGTAAGATTTTTTATAGGGCTTATAATTGTGCTTGGGTACTTTTTCCAATAAGTGCTAGGGATTCTAATAAAGAAAGAAAAATGTTACAGTATATTCAACAATAAGATACAGAGAGAATACATATGCAAAGATTAACAAAAAGAATTAGACTTTTTTAAGAAAAGCAATCAACTAGATTCTGAGAATTAGAATCCAGAGGTAGTAGCTAGTATAACTTCTTATACATATCTATAACAATTTGAAGTAAAACTAGACAAGAAAATTAATAAAAACACATAGAGAATCTAAATATATAAAGATAAAATTAAAATAAAAAAGGATTTTAGAGACTTACGCCATGGGGGTGGACTAGTAATGCAGTAGGAAAGACCGAGAAGTTGTTCCTTCGGTGGGTGTGGTGATGGCTCAGCTGACTTTGCTGCCATGACTTTCCCTCTCTAAAAGATTACCCAAAATACACTGAATCCCCAAACACTTCAAATCCCCAAATCTGCAAACAACCCAAATCACAAAATCTTTCAGAAACCCATGGAAATGGTTAAAAAAATTTGAAGATATGCTCAGAATTCTGAGCACCCAGAAAGCTCAATCACTGAGACATGAACTAAAAGAGTACCCAAAATACACTTCAAAACCCAAATCTGCAAACAACCCAGATCGCGAATCTCTCAGAAACTCATAGAAAATTGAAGAAACGCTGAAGATTTTGAGCACACAGAAAGTTCACTCACTGAGATATGAAAACAGACAAGAATGGAACAACCCACGCGTCCTGCCCACTATATATATGGGAATGGGACTGTAAATAAGAATAAAAGCACAAAATGAGTACTGTGACTATAGTACAAGCTTACTGATGGTTAATTATTGCAAGAAAATTGAAAACAACCTTGTAAGCAAAATCAAGTGGAGTGCATTGTTGTCAAAAAATCAAAAGACCCTACCCCATAAAAGTCCACCAAAAGGGGTAGGATAAGAGGGGATGTAAAAGAGACCTTTAGATGTGGTACAGCCCAAAAACCAAAGTCTAGAGACAACAGTCTGTAACAGAGTGAGCAAGAGAAGGAGATAAACTGAGAGCCCTTTTCAAGTTTCATCTCATTCTCTGTTTTCTTCTGTCTCTAAACAAAGTAAAAACAAGACAGAATCTGTTTCTAAACCCAGTCATGCAATGAAAGTTCTGTGATATTTAGATTACATTTAAAATAAAATATTACACATTAATTAATATAATTTAAGAATCATAATTTTTTTATCATCATTTTATGAAAAAATTTTCATAATCCTTAACTTTTCTATTCTAAACCAAGTAAAAACAAGACATGAAGAATCTTTATAACTAAGTTAGTTAGGAGAATTTTGGAAATATGGTTAAAAATTATTTTTCAGTTTTTAATTTATTTTGGATTATATAATTTTTTTTTTATTTTTTTGGATAAATTACAAATGCACTCTTGAAATTTGCTTAAAATATGAATTATTTCTTGTGATTTGAAAAATTATAAATACTTCACCGTCAGAATTTTTTATTTAACAGAATTAATTAAAAATGTGAAATTCTAACTGTTCACCTGTATAATAATAAAATTATCTGAATTATTAGTTAAAATAAAATTTTAGTGTTATTAAATACGGTTAATTAACTTGATGATTTATTAATAAAATGACTTATTTATTATGAAATTAGAAACCTTAGAGGACATAATGGAATTTCTATAACCACAAAGGGTAACTTATAATTTAAGTAAATCTCAGGGGGTGTGTTTATAATTTACTCTATTTTTTTATATGTTTTTTCAAAAGAAAATTAAAAAATTAATTTTTAATCAACTTTTCAAAACAACCATTATTAGCCATAATCAAATATTATAATAATTCATGATCAATATTAAATTAAAAGACAAAATAACAATAAATAAATAAATAACCAAAACCCTTCTAATAAAATAAATCTTGAATTTTTAATTTTTAATTTTAATTTATTTTTCATGTAAATCATTTGTCCATTTGTGTTAAGTAAAATTAACAAAAAAAAAATATTTTAGTTATTAAAATCAATGAAAATAAATAGTTTAGACATTTTATGTACACCTACGTTGAGTTTAATGACTAAAATATCTTCTTCTTTTTTTATCGATTTTACAAAACAAAAATAGATTGATAGTTTAGATCAAAAACACATCAAATATTATAATTTAAATTGATAAAATTAAAAATTCAAATTTTTTTTATTAAAAGGTTGGACTCTGGAATCTTTTGTAATTTCTTCTAATTTAAACCATAATTTTTGTATAATATATTATGTGTGTTTTTTAACATAATTCTTATTTTGGTTCGTTCAATTGGCATGTATATTTTTATCTGAAGTCGATCTTATTAAATTTAAATATTGGCAATTTCTTATTACGAAACTTTTATGTGTTATTCGACTATAATTCTCTATATTAAAAATATTTTTTTCAAAAAAATAAATAATAATAATAATCTTTATTTGCCTAATTTGTCTTTTCAATTTACACGCAATAGTGATAATGGCAAGGTAATAGTAACTAAGTACAAGGACAATTAAGGTTTCTTTGGCTGCATTTGTTTTTTTATTTATTTTATAGAAAAATACGAGTCTTAATATATTGCGTACTTGATAATAAATCGCCAATTAATATATATTACAGTACAAAACATATTTCAAAATAAATAAAGAGAACCTCTACATAGGGAGGAAGAACCTCTATGAAAGGATAAAAAAACCTTTATTGTTGCAAAAAAAATTAAAAAAATAAATAAATAAATCATTACTAAACAAGTATTACCAAACATTTTTACAATTTATTCATCCTCACAGTGACTAGAAGTATCTAATGTTTGCGAGAGAAGAAACAAAGTGGAGAAAATGGCTAGAAGTATCTCTCTCTCCGTGACGAACAGAGAAAGAGAGAGAGAGAGAGAGGGTAGGCTTCTCAGAGAGAGAGAGAGAGAGAGAGAGATGGGCTAATGTTTGTTATCAACTTTTGGCGGCATCTTCTTAGTAAGGGTATTTTTAAGTTCGATTTTATGTTTTTGAAAGATTTATTTTTGAGTTACAATATTTTTATTTTTTAGTGAAACATAAGCTAGAATGGACTAATTTTTTTTTTTTATAATTAAATTGGAAACATTTTGAAATTTTTTAGTAAAGAGAAAAATAAAGAAAATTTTATAAGCTTTTCGATAAAATTTAACTTGATTTTTTAGTTAATTTTTTTTTAAAAAAAATTTATGAAAAAATTTTCAAAATCGTCCCATCTAGATGAACCTAAAATAATAATAAATTTAATATAATTTTTTTTTAAATTACTAAAACTGAAAAAAATAAAATCAACTTATGAAGGAGTGTCAAGGAAAAGTCATGCTTAGGTAAAAAATTATAAGTACACTTTTTTATCTTTTTATATTTTTTTGTCATATCACTTTTTTATTTTGTACATCTTTTTATAAAAAAAATCAAAAAAGTGCACTTATTTAGTGAAATGACATAATTGTCCTAAATTGTATAATAATCTATGACATGTTTAACAAACTCAATTATTAAAGATTGGGTTAAATTTTGACTATGTGATTATTGTCCCCAATTCAAAAGAGGATATTGGGATGCCCAAACTAGTAGAAAAAAAGAAGCGAAATTATGGGTTTTGAAAAATTATTACACAATGATAAAAAAAATTATAATTTTAATTATTAGCATTTATAATTTTTACCTTTTTTTTTATAAATATTTTTCTAACCACCGAGAAATTCTCTATTAAAAAAAAAAAAAACACAGCAACCATTTTTTTGGCCCTTCCAAGAATAACTAGAAATGCACAAATTTTGTTGCCACAATAAATAATTCCTAAATGGCATTATTTCTGTGGTTGTTTTTATTAACAAAAAAAAAATTATACTACATATTAAATGGATCATTATTTATTTTTTAATTACTTAACAAAAGTGAGTCAATATGTCTTACTCATAAATTTTTTATTACGTGATTAATTTAGAACACTATGCAAATAATTTCATACACTTTGAGACTACTGAATAATTACTCTCCCATGTCACCCTTCAGCTGTTGGGTTTTTGTTTTTTTTTTTTTTTAAGGGTCTTTTAATGTGTGCTTGTTCATTTTATATCTTGCTTTGTTTGTTTTTTTTTTTTAAAAAAAGGAAAAAATCCAAAAAGATTTTCTTAGTGTGACTTTGCAAGCTTGAAATTTTTGAAAAGTTCTTGTTGCATATTGGAATTGATGAGAATATCCATTACATGTTAATATATGTGTGCTTTCTGTGGTCATTACTCAATTTGGAATGTGTGTTCTTTGATTAGTATGTCTCATTCTGTACACACTTTTGGATTAGCAAATATCGGAGTCTTTCACCTTAGTGATAATTTTCTCTATGGCTGTCACACCTAAAGAGTTTAATCGTATTTACAATTGTGAAGTCACAAAAGAGGCTTGGGATATCTTACAAACTATTCATGTGGGCACTCCTTCGGTTAAACGCTCAAAACTTTAAAGGCTCACGTAATGAATCAAACATTGAAGGAAGCTAGATAGAACATGATCTGAGCCATTAGAAACGCTATAATACAAAAAATAAATAAAATAAAATAAAAAATTTATAGCCTCATTCATTCAAGAAATCAAACAAGACCAGAATTCAATGCTCCGTTTGGTTCCTAAGTAAACAAAAGAAAACAAGAGGTTTACATCTTAAACGTCCACCAATTGAAGAAAGAGACCTTGAGCTTCTTCTCATGGGGGTTGATGTCATCAAACTGGTCTGCACCAAAGGTGGAGATGTTGGGTTTTGTTCCACCAGCACCAACTGCTATGATGTAAAGAGCTGAGTAGAAGAATGCTGTTTGGGATGATGAGGCCTTGCATACCCCATTTGTGCATGTTGGTTTCCAAAATTTAATTGACACTGACATTGTCAGAAGTACCATTCCCTGTAGTTGAGATCATTTTAAATGACTTGGTTGGCTTTACTATCAAGAAGGCCAAAGTGAAATAAAAATTGAATACATGTACAGCCATAAATGATAAATGTGCAAAAATTGTCTTGTTATCTGGCATTACAATTATAGTTTTAAATAATAGTATTGAGATATTAGTTTTGGCTGTACAATTAAATATCAAATAATATCAAACTTATATATCAGATCAGTATCAGAAGTTAAAAATCCTAATACAGCTGATATTTAAAATCCTAGTCACAACATCAAACATATTCCCACTAATTCTAGTTGTCTAAATCAGCAAAAGTGAAACCTAAGCGAGGTCTCAACTGTCCGTCTTCCTAAGGAGGTTGATCTGAGAAAGTGAGCCACCGAGCGAGGCTTCACCTTTCCATCTTCTGATCCAATGAAATGGACTTGAGGCTTAATTTTGTTTATTTAATTGATTGGGATCAAAATTAACAAGATGGTTTAACACTACTGAAAATGCACTCCGACAATAGCTTGCTAGTTTGTTCCAATGGAATTGAAGAAATTGGTTGGTATATATTTTCATGAAATAAAAAAGAGAAGAGAACTTTGTTTGGGCTATCACCTATGTGAGCTTGCAGAAGATATATGTATACATATATCTTCTGCAAGCTCACATAGGTGATAGCCCAAACAAAGTTCTCTTCTCTTTTTTATTTCATGAAAATATATACCAACCAATTTCTTCAATTCCATTGGAACAAACTAGCAAGCTATTGTCGGAGTGCATTTTCAGTAGTGTTAAACCATCTTGTTAATTTTGATCCCAATCAATTAAATAAACAAAATTAAGCCTCAAGTCCATTTCATTGGATCAGAAGATGGAAAGGTGAAGCCTCGCTCGGTGGCTCACTTTCTCAGATCAACCTCCTTAGGAAGACGGACAGTTGAGACCTCGCTTAGGTTTCACTTTTGCTGATTTAGACAACTAGAATTAGTGGGAATATGTTTGATGTTGTGACTAGGATTTTAAATATCAGCTGTATTAGGATTTTTAACTTCTAAAACTGATCTGA